GTCCCGTTGGTTTGGCTGGTGCCCCTTCCGATGGACTGCCCGGCTTCCTACCCGCTTGCTTCCCCTTGGTCTGCCGCCGGCGTTAATAGCTCTGCCACATGCTCTTTTTCAGAACACAGCCCAGAAACGGTCATTTTTGTCGGTAGCCACAGCTGTTGTGTATATATAATATATTTTTTCATATTCTCTTTGTTCTGCCAAAGCTGCTGAGGCTTGCGAGCAAACAGATCGTGGTGAAACTCCTCCAGAGTCGTGGTGCTGCCGCTTTTTCTTCTCCCTGCCAATCCTCCTGGTGAAACAGTGCCATGGGCCTGGGGTAGGATTGATTGCAGGTGGGTGCATCCCAGCAAGGAAAGAGCCTTGAACATCCTGCAGCTGCTGTTGACTCTTGCGCCGATGGGCTCTGAAGGAAAACGCCCAGTATCACTGGTTTTAAATAGCCAGCTCCGTCTGCATGGATGGGATAATGCAAGAGTCCTTTTGAGTGTTCCTGTGGCTGAATCATGGGACAGAAATGTCTGAGTCACCCCAGGTGAATGCGGTGTTTCACGTTGGTGTGAACTGAAAGGTGAAGGAGCTTTATTAGAGGAGCTAATATTTGGGCTCATTATGGGTTTCATTAGATTTTCAAGTGAAACAATCCAGAAGAGTTCCTTTTACAGTGTATATAAACAGACTATTACCATGTCAATGCCAGGTCTCTAATGGGATGCTGGTCTGGTCGGAGAGGAAATGAAACTTCAGAGGAAAGCGATGTACCCCACTTCTTGGGCGTTTACTGCGTCTTCTTGTTTTATTTTAGCCATCTGACTCCCCTGAAATCCTGTAAAATCTGACGTCTGACTCCCCTGAAATCCTGTAAAATGTTCATGTAACTGGGATTTCTCAGTTAATACATTTTTAGAAGAAAATGTTGAAGGGGCTATCAGCTGTATCCCTTGTTGCTTTCCTGTAGAAAGCTCTCTGCTATTCCAAGCTCTTCCTTCTCACAAAGGTTTTCACCCGTCCCTGAGGAGTAAAGGCTTTGCTCTGCTTTCTCCTGGTTGCTGCGCAGCTAAGTCAGATGGCCCTTCTGCATTACTATGGGGATTTTGGACATTTTCTACTCGTCCTTGCTTGAACCGTGGATTTTCCTTTATCCTGGATGGGGGCTGAGGTGTTGTCTTCCTGCTGTTGGTAGAGCTGAAGCAACTGTACTAGAGGGTGCTCCGTGCTCCCCAGGTGCTGCTGGCAGGGAATTTGGGCAGATTGCTCTGTCCCGTATTTTTCCCCGGCTGTGAAACAAAGCACTGTGGTTGCAGAGAGTAACGTAAGAGCACAGTATGAATGGCTGCTCTTACGCTCTGTCCTGGAATTGAGGCATTTTGCTGAGCTTGGAGTTGAGTTTCTTGCCTTCTGCTGGTGCAGAAGTTGCACCTTGCTTTCCAGAGATGGAATGAAAGATGGACTGGCAGGCTTTTGGAAATAGTGATGTCGGTGTTACTTTTGGGTTGGATTTCTGCTGTTCTGTGTGTTTGGTTCATTCCTCTTCTGGTGGGGTTTTTGTTCTTTCTACCCCAAAGAGGAGAGAGCTGTGGCTGATACTCCTGAGGGATGTTTGAAGCCCAAAGCCAGCTGCGATTTGAAATGCAGATTTATAGCTCTGCTCCTTGAGCACCACAGCCCTGGGTTTCGGAAGCAAATATTAATGCATCTGGTAGAATATTACAAGTGCCTTTGTCAGACAATCTTATTATTCTCTTCATGATGGTTCTTCAGGCCCAATCAACAATACAGAAAAGTGGAAGGTCTTTATTTTATTGCAGGATTGTGTGTTCACAGCCTGGTGGGTTCCTGTGTAGCACCAGAGCCTGGGTGACTGTTGTGCATGCTCTTGGACTGCAGCCGCTGGGAATTTAAATCCATTCGTTTAAATCTCTTTAATTGAAATTTAATATTTCGTGTTTTACTAATTTAGAAATAAGGGATCAGGCATGTGATTGTGCTCCTGTGCTTTAACAACCTCCCGTGTGTCGTCTGTTCTGCAGCGGCGCTTTGTGCCCTCTTCATTCCCAGCAACTGCAATATCAAATGCAATGGCTTTCATCTCCTTGGAAGCTGGGCAAGTCTAGATGCAGCGTTCGGCATTCTGTCGCGTTCCCAGATGCAGGGATATTTTTTCCAGACTTTCTTCCAAGCTGGACAGCTGATTTACAGACTTGGAGAAGTCTTGCAGCCTCTATCTCTGAACTTTGTGGGTCTCTGCCAGGTGGCAGCATATTTAAATGGCTGTAAAATGGCTTTTTCTTTGTTTCAAAGCAAAGAGTCTTAAATGAGGTGGAGCATGCCTGGGAATCAGTATGTTAATTGCCCACAATGAAAATCAAAAGTGCTTGGAAGGCTGACTGCCCCGGCTGACCTCTTCCGAGCGCAGAGATGCCTGGTGGTGGGAGGCTGAGAAGAGCAACGCTCGCAGGAACGTCCGTATGCTCTGTGCGAGGGAGCAGAGTGCTATTTGCTCCTCCGCCTCCACGTGTCTGCTGATCCCTGGCTCCTCCACCTGCTCCTGCCGGCTGTGGGGATGGTGGCCATCGGCTCGGTGGGCAGGGTTAAGGACGAGCAGGGTGCTGGTGCGGGTGGAGAAGGTGTCCTGCTTCCTTTTATGTTCCTACAGCTGTGCTTCGGCAGAGGAATGGTCTGGAAGCTGTCCCGTGGCATGTCTAGTGTGTTAGTGGAGGAACCAAGAGCATCAACATCATCCCAACCATTCTATGATCTTCCAGGTGTGTTTGGGGCTTAGGTGGCCTTTTATTAGGTTTCGAAACTACCCCCTTCCCTTTTCTGGGGTGTGTTGGCTGCAGAACCGCCTCCCACCGCGATGCACGGCTGTGGACGGCGATCTCTGCGGCGGTGAAGTGGGCGTTCGGTTGTCAGTTCTGACTAATGTGCGGCATTGATTGCTCCCAGCTGCACCAGCCCAAATTGACAATCTAGGGTTTTGTTGTCTCCCAGAATAGAAGATTTTTACTATTGGGACTGCTGCCGTAGTGAGCTTGTCCTGAACTCCTCCTGGCTGCCTGAGTAACGCTCCGCGATATTGAAGCACTGCGGCTGCCGGCCTGACAAGGACAGGGACCTCGAGCTGTAGCAAATCCTGGTGTGTTTAAAACTGCTTTTTCCTGCAGCGGAGAGAACAAACCTGGATGTGTCAGACGGGTTCAAGTTCCTGATTAGTCACTGGTGTGATGCTGCAGCAAATTCCTGTTTGCTTTTGAAATTTTTTTTTCCTTTTCCCCTGATTTAAGATTAAGTTTCTGGATGTTTAAAGGTTTTTCCCACTTCTCTGTGGTGTACAGGGGTTGGAGATGATCTGTAGGTTCACGGAAGTCCCAACGCAAATTTTGGTGAAAAACTAAAGAATCCAAGTGGACATATTTAAACTCTGGAGACCTTTCTTATGCAAATGTTGAGGGGGTATTTGTTACCTTAACAAGATGTGATACACAAAATTAAAAATAAACTCTTATTTTCAGTAGTAATTTGAAATTTTCAGTGTTAAATTTAAATTTTCCATGTTAAATTAAAATTTTCCTGTGCTGAATTTAAATTAAATGAGAAGACACGCTCCCTGCTCCTACCTTCTTCCTGGTAACTTTAGCGGAGAGAGGAACTGCTGTGAAATTGTTTTTATCATACATCTGGCTAGAGGCACATCAGCTCAGGCACTCTTTTTGAAACACATTTTACTCTCAGGATGGAGTACCAGAATTAGAATACCACTCTCTTGTTCATCACCGCCCTGGTTTGTATTTCGCAGGCTCAGGTGGGCTGTTACCCCCGTGATCCCGCTCGGGAGGTGAAACCCCTCCGTGTATGGTGCGTGTGCTTTCTCCAAACTCTTCCTTAAGCAAAACACCTCCATCTCCCTCTCCACTCGCTGCCGGCTTTTTTCTCTTCTTGCTGAACTCATGTGAGGAAGGAGCGAGGGGTGTTGATGATTTGGATTATGCAGCTAAGTGGCTGGAGCGTGGCTGGCTGTCTCCTCCCCTTCCTGAG